ACCCCATATCCCAGAAGTACAGTGTTGTATTGTAACTCAAGCTTGGCTTAGCCAATGGTGGCGGTCCCCTCCCTACCACCACCCCCACTCTGGCTGCGGTAGGCCTCTAGTGGCCTTGGGTCTTAGGCGGCTTGGGCTCATGGATGACAGCAGCTGCAGACAGCCAAGGCCCAATGGCCCGGGCAGTGCTCTGCTTGGCCACACTGTAGTGGCTGATGACTGTGTAGAAGCGGCTTCTGGAGTTGGGGTCCTGGGATGAGTAGTAAGCATCCAGGGAGGCTGGAATGCAGCGCTTGTGCTAGGGAAGAAACAGACAGAGTCAGGAGTAGTTTGGTGGTCAGCTTCCAACCCACCTTGAGACATGCTATCCCACCAGTAAGCCCCAGTGCCATCGGACTTCATGGCACATGGCAGGTGGTAACACCCCACCCGAGCCAGGCACACGGCAGACAGTCCCCGACATCATCATCACCATCACCAAAGAGCTATCATATCACAGAGAAGAAGCCAGAAGACATGAACTTCATGTTGGCACTGATTCAAGGCCATCCTCACCTATTTATTGAACATTTGACTAGTCAACATCATTGGTGTTTCCACCAGATCTCCTTATCTAGTACCCAGTTTCTTCTCTGAGCCATTGCCCACAGCCAATGGTTGTTTATGTCCTTGACTTTATACTTCTCTTTTTTCTTACATCAAGTTATCTTGGTTCCTAAAAATATTAATATAATCATTCATTTGTATTCTCCTACAATATTACTACTCAGAGTTAGACTACTAAAGGAACTTTGATATTTCTCTACAGCAGTCTGTGTCTTTAAGATACAAATAATCCATGGTTTGACTTGCTATTTTTTTTATTTTATGATAACATAAACCATACCTATACAACCATTCTGTTTTTCACTTTCAGTATACTATTCAATAAACTCCATATCAAATCCACACTTTATTATAAAGTAAACTCTGTGTTACATGATTTCACCCAAATGTAGGGTAATGTACATATTCTGAGCACATTTAAGATAGGCTGGGCTAATCTATGGCTTTGATAGTTTAGATACAATAAGTGCGTTTTGACAGGGTATTTTTAGTTCATGATGAGTTTATCAGGTCAGAACTCCATTATAAGTTGAGGACCATCTGTACTTAAATCAGAATTGGAATTACAATTTTCCATTTGCACCATGACTAAGGTAAGCTATGTTTGGTGAGTTAGATATATTAAATGTGTTTTCAACTTAAGATATTTCAATGCACAACAGATTTATCATATCATAATTCCATCATAAGTTGAGGAGCATCAGAATCATCCATGAGAGGGTGAAGTCAATATTCAATATTCATAATATTCCACAGACATTTGAAATGTATTTTCTTTGTAAATGTTCCTCGACTTGATATAGAGCTAACTTCTTTGTTTAGTTTGTTTTTAATTTTTATGTTTTTTTATTTTTAAATGTCAATGATTTACATGCTTTTAAAACAACAGTTAACAAGGGGTGTGTGTGTGTGTGTGTGTGTGTGTGTGTGTGTGTGTATATATGTATATATATATATATATATATATATAGAGAGAGAGAGAGAGAGAGAGAGAGAGAGAGAGAAAGAGAGAAATCTTACTTCCATTTCTGTACCCTGTACCCTCCTTTCCTCCTGAGTAATCAATTTTATTGATTTTGAAATTTATCCTTCTAGAAATATTTTTCTGAAAAAATAAGCAAATAGTTTTTCACTTCCTCTTCTATTCACATAAAGGTAGATTTTTTCTTTCTTCCTTTGTTTAGCTAGATCATTTTAAAGGATATTCTGTCTAGTCCCAAGGCCTTCTTCACTTACTTTCACAGTTCTATAGAATTCCATTTTGGGGATATAGCATAGTCTATTCAACTATCTCCAATGCTATTTGTTTCCAGTCTTTCAGAATGTGGGATTTTAGTCATTAAGAACATAGCCTTAGAAAATCCTATAACAGAATTAAAGGACACATGCTTCAAAGTTGAAACATCACCCATTTGATCCTCCACTGTGGAATTTACATAGCTGTGATGTCTTAGGAAACCTTAACTAAATGTTTTTTACCAATATTTTCTCATATGTAATATGGGGGACATAAAACCTATTTTTCAGAATTATTATGTGGCCTAATTGAGATAATGCTTATAAAAATGCTTAGCAAAGGACCTAACTTATAATACTTAGTAAGTGACAATTATAAATATTAATGTAGGAAAAGGGAAGGCAGAACTTTTGTAAACAGCAAAGGTATCACAAACATGTACTAATAAAAACCAATTTTAAAAAGAGACCAGCAGGTCAGGGGTCCAGCTGCGAAACTACAGAAAACCTCAGAAGCACAGCTCCCTGCCTTCATACTTCATCAGGGACAGTGGAAAGCTAAGGTACCAGCCATTTAGCCAGGAAGACTAGATTGAGGTTCAAAAATGTGCCAAGCAGAAGTTTCCAAAGATGGAGAAGTCAGTATCCAGCAAGGTGAGATCCCCTCATCATTGATGTGTAATTGGCAGTAGGACCATCTCCCAACCCTTGGAAGAGAAACTACTGCCACTGAGTCCTTCAGGAAAACCCCTTTCCAAACATGTTATATTTGTTTCTTTTTCATTCTTTATTTTATGAAAAAATAAAACAAATTTTCATAATCAAATAATAATAAAAGTACTCATTACAAGATATAAACCAAAAGATTCTTGCAAAAAAAAAACAAACAGTAACACAAACTTTCTTTTCAATTAACTAAAATAATTTTTAACAGTCTGTATGGAAGTTGCCACACCAAACTTTGGACACAGATGAAAACATGACAGTCCCTTCAATTGAAGCTGACAGTAATTTGGGGCTACTGTCAGGCTCCCTTACCTTATAGACAAATCCCTCTGGGCAGCTGTGGTCATAGGTGAAGGCTTTGTAAACCACCAGGAACACAATGCAGGCAAGGAAAGCAAGGGCCAGGCTGACGAGGATCGTGACCTGGAAGAAGATAAAACTAAAAGTCATTCAGCCTCAGAGCACCCACTTTTAGTCCATGTGTGCAGCCTTCAAAACCTATAGCTTGTAGACTGTGTGATATGTAGTATATCGGAGAGAGTAGAGGGCCAGGGGCCCAGTGGACAGGCTCTGTATTGACTTTATCACTTACTTTCAGGGTGACAGCAGTCTTTGGGCCTTAGTTTCCCCATTCAACAGGATAATCTATGAAGTTTGTCTTGACCTAACAACATATGTGCGGCTCTCTGGGGGGACCCCGTCCCGCGGGGAATAGGAGGTGAGAGCCGCCTCTTATTCGTGGGTCATCAGAGGCCGATCCGATCTTGAATGTCTGTGGAGGAAATCTTTAAGAAGTTAGCGTACACGGCCCAAGTCTGGTTTCTGATCAAAGGCTCTTTATTGGCTCAGCAAAACGATTATATACTGTTATCCCAGGGGGAAGGTTCAGCAAGCTTATTGGACAGTT